AACTGGACACTGTAAGACATAGGCTCCTAGGGTTGCGTCTGGGACTTGAGATATTGGCTAATGTCATTTGATTGAACAATCCAAGGAGCAGTTTACATGCTAGAGTCTGTGCGTGAACAGTCAAGGAGTGGGGATTCTCACAGCAGAGCAGGGTAAGGCTGGCTCCCAGAGTCAAGCATTGGAGTGACCTAGCAGATCACCAGTCCAGATAACACCAGAGGGGAATGTCACACCCCTCCTGCACCCCAAACCTCTCATCCCCAGCCTCACCTCAGAGCCTGCACCCTCATCCCAGAGCCCTGACCCCCTCCCGCACCCCTGCCCCAGCCCAGAGCCCCCTTCCACACCCTGAACCCCTCATACCCAGCCCCATGCCACAGCCCTCACCCCACACCCCAACCCTCTGCCCCATCCATGATCTCCTCTCATACCCCAAAACCCTCATCCCCAGCTCCATTGGGTCGCAGGCATAAACATTTTGTTTCAACTGGGTCGCCAGAAATTTTTTGGGGGGAACCACTGATCTATGATGTCATCATCTGCCTAGCAGCACCATAACATTCTGGCCTCAGAGAGCAGCAGAGCTAAGTGAGCTGAGGAAAGCTGGTGTGTATCTATTCACAAATTAGGCTGTGGTCTGCAGAAGCAGGGCTGGGGAGAGAGAATGGAGAAAAATAAGAGGGAGGGGTGATGAACAACCACCACAAATGAATACATGGAGGATGAGAAAGATGGATCATGTGGAAGAGGAGCAGAAGGACTCTCAAGAGATAAAACAGAGGAGGAGGAAGTGGCAAAGAGGAGGATAAAGGATCATGAGGACTATGTGGAAGATGAGGTGGCAACATCACACATGAGAACAGAAGTAGCTGTCACCATGAGGGATCCCATATAGAGGGAGAAGGGATCACAAGAGATTGCATAGAGAAGGAAGGGCCACAAGAGACTTAATGGAAGAGGAGGAGGGGTGAACCAGGAGAGGCCACATGGAGGAGGGACCAAAAATACTCTGTGGAGAAAGAGGAAGAAGAAAGATCACAGGGGATCAAACTAAGGAAGAGGAGGCCAGGCAGGTTTGCACCAAAGAGGAGAAAGAAGGATTGTGAAGGCTCAAGAGGAGGAGGACTGCGAGGGAAAACGTGGAGGAGGAGGGAACTTGAGGGATCATTTAGAGGAGGAATATGAAGGACCACAAGGGATTGCATGGAGCAGGAGGAATGACTGTGAGGAATTGTGATGGAGGCAGAATAACCATGGAAGATTTTACAGAAGAGGAGATGTGACCAAAGGGGATTGAATGGAGGAAGAGAAGGGGGAATGAATTTGAGGGATTGTGCTTGGCAGAGGAAGGAAGGATCGTGGGAGATCATGCACAGAGGAGGAAGAACCACAAATAATTCTGTAGAAGAGAAGGTGTGATCAAAGAGGGTCAAATGAGGAAAGGAATGACCATGAGTGTTTGCACAGAAGAGGAGGAAGCAATGTTCATGTGGAATCAAAATGGAGGAGGAAGAATTAGAAAGGATTCTGAAGAAGAGGAGATGTGACCAAAGGGGATCAAATGGAGGAAGAGGAGAGTAGCCTAGTGGGCTAGCTTGTCTGTATTATATTCACTGCTTTCCATTATATACTGCTTTTATTATATTCAGCAATAATGCAAGAAACCTACTGGTCTGTATCCTGTAAGACATTATCTTCAGCAAGGTAGCTTAAGGCTTGAGGCCTATGAACTTTGAACAGAAACTCTGAACAGATAAATGGCCCAACAGAAACCCCAAAGTATTAGGGAGTTGAAAATAGAGTGTTTAAGGGGAATTTCTGAACACAGGTACATGATCCAACCACAAGAGTGTCATGGCAATGAATTGACGTATATAACAGGTACATGAGCTACATCCACAGATACCTAACTACAAGAGGGCCATGTTTGCCAGACACTGGGAATGGGCTTTATGGGATGGATCACTTGATTACCTGTTTTGTTTATTCCCTCTGAAGCACATGGCATTAGCCACTGTCAGAAGACAGGATACTGGGCTAGATGGACCTTTGGTGTGACCCAGTATGGACGTCCTTATGCTCTTAAGTTCTTATGTAATGAATTGACATATATGACAGTAAGTTGAAATCATTGACATACTAACCTATAGGAGAAAGACACTCCAACATTAGTACAGTGAGGAAAGACAAATAAGGAAAAGGGGAAAATCACCAATTGACTATTCATCAAACATAGTGGCGTAAGCATATCATATTATAAAAGTTGCATCCCAGCCTAGGGGCAGTAGGAGAAGGAGATATAGCTCTTGGGAGATGCCAGAATGATGGCCACTGGTGATGAGGGGTAAGGGGTTGGTGATGAGAAAGACGATGGCTAACATTTCAGGTTGTTCTACAAGGAATGGTGTGAGTATATGCATGTGCGGATGTACATTCTGTACTACCTCTATCTACCTTACTGAGTTGGTGTGTTTTTGACTGTGCTAAATGTATTTGTAAATATTGAGGAGTTCCTATAGTGTGAGTATTGCAGCTGTGCACATTGGGGTTCCCAACTATATAATAATTTGAATAATACTGGGCCTGATCTTGGGACAAGAACCTGTCAACGCTAAAAGTGATAACTGGGGATTCCTAAGTAATATAGATATAGAGATAAAGATAGAGAGAGAACGATCAGGATACAGGAGAAATGAAGTAAGAGGTGGGTTTTAGTATGGAGCAGGAAGGAAGGAAGGACTATGAGGGATCATGCCCAGAGGAGGAAGGAATACAAGGGATTGCATAGTAAGGAGGACAAACCAAAAGGGACTGAATGGAAGAAAGTAAGGGACCATGAGGGATGGCACCAAGGAGGAGATGGAAGGACCATGAGGGATCTCATGGAGGAAGAATTGTGAGATCTTGCATTGAGGAGGGACCATGAATGATCTTAGAATCATAGGGTTAGAAGGGACCACAAAGTCACCTAGTCTAACTGCCTGCCAAGATGCAGAATTTGATGTGTCTAAACCATCCAAGACAGATCAGACTGAGTATAAAGAGGAAGAAGGATTGTGGGTGTTTGTGCCGATGAAGAAGGACCATTTGTGCTGATGAGGAAGGACCATAAGGAATCACACTGAGGCAAAGTGATAAAGTCATACTTGGGCTTGATCCTGCTGCCATTAAAACCAATGACAATATTGCCATTGACTTCAATGAGAGCAGGGTCAGGTGTACAGCTACTTGGTTTCAAGTACCTCAGTTTGTTTAATTATAAGATATTGATAAAAGTAAAAATAATTCTTATGACTAATGTCTTATGACTACCTGCCACTATCATAATTTCCTTTTCTCCTGCTGTATGTTTTTGAACTATTTAATTATGTACAATATTTCAAGTCAGATTGTCCTGCCAAACAGACACAATAAACACATATCAGTTCTAATTTTCAAAACGTGATTGTATGGTTCCTTCATAGCAATGGAGATTAGTTCAAATTATATCCCTATTAATTAAATTCTACGCTCTATACTAAAAGCAGATGTCTTCTTGTTTAGTGGTAGCTAGATTTCTTTCAAGGCACCTGGAATGCATAATTTCTGAACTAGAAATGAGACCAAGTCTCCAAATTTGAATTTGAGTTCCAGTTTCAAAACAGTCAATTCAAAGGCACTTGGATTCACAATCCAAAGCAAAGATGTTCTTTAGTTTAGAATTTAGTTCTGTCGGAGAAAAACACAGTTCTCACTTTTTGTTTGGGTACAGCAAGTCAGATGCTTTATTTTCTCTCTATCAATTGCATAGAGGGAGAGAGCTAAACAGGTCTCTCAACAGGTAAACAATTACAGCAAGCATTTATACCTTTTGTTACAGACAATAATGAGCAACAGCTGCATTTTGTTTATACAAAGGTCATTCTGATATCTTGTTTTGCTCACTAATGTAGACTCTTAGTCTACATTCCATATCATCTACACATTATCTACACAAGGTCACAACAACTTCTCACACAGTTCTTTCCCACTCGCCTCACACATTCCTCGCTTTTACAAATCTCGCATTATTCGGGTTACAGTTAGCATAACTCTTGCTAACTAACTGTCATGCATTGTATCCCCTTCCTGTCAGTTCTTTCTCTGCTTCCACAGTTCCAATTGAGGCCTTGCACTACTTTAAACATATTCACTATATAAAGGTGAACCAATTATTCCAGACATGCAATTACTATGTAATTATGTAATTACCACACATAGTAATAGTTAGCATACAATAATAATTCTTAGCACTTATACTGTATAAGTGTAAAGACAACAATTCTCTAATCTTCATACATGCCCCTGTCTCCTCATGAGAGAGTTATTCAGGTCGTATTGCCATCAATTTACAGATGATGAAAGTGAGATGGAGATATGAAGTAATTTGACAAAGGTCACAAAGGAAGTCAATGTGAAAGAGGCAGCATTAGAACCCTTCCTTTAGCCATGCTCCCTCATGCTATGGTATATACAAATTGTACCTCACTTCCCAAAGCATCCTACTGAATTCATATTAGCAAAGAAATATATTAACTAATCTTTGATTTCCTCCAAATGTTTTCAGTTTAGCATCAGAAAAAAAATCATTTTTTCCTCTTGCAAGTTCATTGTCTCCTGGGCGTGACCCAAAACATAAAAAAATACACATTTTAAAATGAATCCATTAGTCTTACACTTTCTCATATATGATTTTTCTCAAGGGTTGCATATCTCCACAATTAAAATGCATGCTTCATTGCCTCCCTCAGTTTTTAGTAATTATAAATTCTGCTGAGTATAAACTGTTGCTAAGATATGTTCACTTAACAAATGCAGCCAAGCCTAAACCTAACAGTGTAGGATATTGTTCAGTTCTTCATCAACTGCTCATCCAAAGATAATCACATTTTCTTTCCTTCTCTAAATTACAGTTTCTTCAGCTGTGACTTGGGTTGGTAAGTTTTCTAAATTTCGCTTTGTGCATTTGAGAAGAATTATTTAAAAGCATCTTACCAGAAGTTATGAATTTTTAATTTACTTTCCTCTAATATATCTAGGTTGAGGTACTAGTGCTATGCAGAGCTGGGTGAAATTTTTCAGACAACACTTTTTTTGCTCTGGAGAAAGTGCATTCAGTTTGACTGAAACATTTCAGAAATTTATACTGATTTTTGGTGAAATGTTTCAGTCAAAATCAAAACGAACCTGGAAATATCAAAATAAATCATTTGGACATTATCAGAATGAACCATTTTGATTGTTTTGAGCAAGAGTTACAAGGAATTTAGGCACCGCTCATAACATTGTAGGAGGAGGGGATACCTGCCCTTAGATCCACTAGCTCAGCAGTTAATGCATTCATCCAGGATATGGGAGATCCAGGTTTAAGTCCCAAGTGAATGTCTAACCAGTAGACTAGTGGTTATTCTGGGATAAGCCTCTCCTTTTGCTAGGTGTTCCACTTTGTACAAATAATAAAATAGGAGGAGAGACTGGAACCCAGGTGAGTGTCCTAACCATAGTATCATTCTCGCACTCTGGCCCAGAGCCTAGTTAATTATGTATACAAACTGGACAATGTTTGGTTTTGGTTCAGCCCAAACAATTTTTTCCTGAAATTACCAGCAAACTGAATAATCAGTTATTTGCAAAGCTTTAGATGCTATATAAAACATGCATGTTCCCTCATGTGTCTATAAACATTATTCTAATATTACCATAGTCTCTACTGAGGGCTATATGCAGTCTCAAGTGGTTTGATAGATTTTTGTCATATTTCACCTTCCTAGTAGCTCTGCAACTGTTTAGTTCATAGCTTGGGCATTTTGTTTTGATCTTGCTACAGCAGACTGGCCTTTCCAGCATCTGTGACTTCCTGTTTTGAATGTTATACAAGTCACATTATTTCAAAAGGATTGAGTCTTTATACCTTTGTTATGCAAGTCAGACATGTATGTCAGCCTTATTTAAATAATTTGATTATATGTATTTTGATATTACAGTTATGGCAAAATATACCCAGTTTTTCAATGAAGCTATACATATTTTTCATTCTTTTAGTCTCATTGATGGTCTGTGCCTGGATTACATGAGTAAAGTTACTTATATATGTAATGGTTTGCAATTAGTGTGACTTTTTGCAGGCCAAGCTTCCAGATAAGTTGATAACAGTGAAACAGAAAGCATTTCTGTGGAAATGTTGGTATACCTGTTTTCTTTCATAATTTGAATGTGTTGAATCTGGAAATGTTTATCAAGCTGAATTTTGAACTTGAAGGTAAGTAAAAAGACAAAAAGAAAACTACTACCATTTGTAACTTAAAAAACAAATAGAAAGTAAAGGAAAGGTAGTATATATGAAATACATTGCTAATTTGGAAAACTGCACTACTGGAAAACACAGGGAACAATTCTTTGAAGATCATATTTTCTGCTTGATTTGCTCACATGACAATATGCTCTTGAATTTTATTGGTTTTGCAGTAAGGATGACATTTAAAATTAAATTAACTAATTTTTCAATTTTAATGAAAAGCACAATAACAATAACTCTCCATTAACTACATACTGCTACATGCCTATCGTTCAGTCCCCAGCTTGTGAAGCTGATACTCTGAATACTGTCATGAAAAGACTTGCATAAGTCACTCATTATCTTCAACAGAAACATGTAGTCTTGCCTGTTGATCAATCCCTCTTTCCTGCTCTGATGGAGCTAAAATGAACTGTACGTTCCATTTTGTTTGAGCACTTCACCATTTTGTTTGTACGGAGTTGTTGTTTGTCTACCATGTTGGGGACCTTCTTCTTGAGACAATTGGCACCTTTTTCTCTCTAAGGTGGGAAAGAGCAAGGGTCACATGGCCTGTGTTCTGCCTAGTAGCAGGAGAGCATAAAAGACTGCTTCACCCGAGAGGAGAGGCGGCCCTTCCTGGTGGCAGCACAGTGCATGTCCTAGTCAATACTTCGAGGGATCTACAGAAGACCACAGAAGATCCAAACTCCATAGTTACAGCTATAAGTCCCTGATTGATTCCTATCTTACCTGTATCTTGAACTCCTGTGTCCTCACCTTGCTGTCCTGATGTATTCCATCTGTGATGTCCTCTGTCATGGGTCCATTCCTCCAAACCTGGTCTAGTATGCTGTGTACCGCTGTACCTTACCTGTAGTAAATTCCCCTTTGTCCTTCTGGGTTTGGGACCTTGATGTTATGTTAGTTTGTCGTGTCAACCTGCACTTGTATGCCCTTTGAGTATTGTTTTACTGGGGGTCCTATAAGATACTGTTTCCTGTTTGAGTCACTGTTTAATAAACCAGTTTGCTTTATAGTTAATCCTGTCCTTAGTTTTCTCTCTGTTGATAGATGCGGTTTGGGGGAACGAGTCTGCTGGGTGGGGACTCTGAGGTGTGGAACCTAGAGCACATACAGTTAACCATAGGCAAGATCTGAGTTCCTCGTAAACAATTCAATGTTTAAGAGGTCTAAATATCAGTTAATGTAGTGGAAGTGCTGGGCCAACATACACAGGATTCTGGATTGTCCAGTGTGTGGACTGAAAGTGGAATTTTAGTTACTGAATTATAGAGCAGCTGGTAAAAAATATGCAAAAGCAACTTAAGATCACTGTACAGGCAATTGGAAAGGAAGGCAATGTGGCAACTGTTATTATCAGAAATTTTGAGCAATCTATAGCAAAAGATCAAGAAACTCTTACTAAAAAAAATCTCCTGGTTTTTGCAAAATCTGATGTTGTAGAAGATTACAATAACTTAGTGTCTACTTTATAATCAGCAAGTTTTTGTGACCAGATGTCATAATTTGTGCTTAGTAACATGGACAACTACCCCAATTTGAAGTACACTGCAACCAGTATCTTCCTACTCTTTCCTATAGCCCAATGAGATGGAATTTCAGAGTTTCATCTGTATGTCTACAAAAGAATGCTTCTGTTCTTTCGCCAATATGACCACACAAATTATGCTCTATCTATGTACTTAGAAGAAATGAACCAGCTCCCTCTGGAAGTATTTGAAGAGTTTCATAGAGGCCACTGGGTTGAGAGAGGTGCCAACCACAGATTCAGTTAGGTAGGTTTGGACCACTCCCATGAGCAGTTCAGTGCCACTGGTAAAAAAAGGAGGAAGAATTATGGGCAACACAAGAACAGCCTCTTCACTCAGTAGATGAGCTCTCCCCTAAATCCCATGTGCCCAGATTTCAGCCCAAACCAGAAAATTGTTCTGTCTTAGACTTGATGACCAAATGACTTGCCATGAATCCACACCAGCTCAAAAGCAGTGTGATCATGTCGATGAAAATGAAGTGTTAATGACACATTGAAGATTCAATTTACTCACTTTTGAACCAGCCTGAAACATACTGCAAAACATTACAACACAGTATTTGGATACAGAAGCAATTAGGGAAGCTCAAATTCTGTTACTCGGTGATAAAGACAAGGGCTCTGAGGTTGTCCAGCTATACCAGGGATCGGCAATCTTTGGCATGCAGCCCTCCAGGGTAAGCACTCTGCGGGCCAGGCCGGTTTGTTTACCTGCCGTGTCTGCAGGTTCGGTTGATCGCGGCTCCCACTGTCCACGGTTTGCCGTTCCAGGCCAATGGGAGCGTCAGGAAGCGGCAGCCAGCACATCCCTCGGCCCGCACCGCTTCCCGCAGCCCCCATTGGCATGGGACGGTGAACCACGGCCAGTGGGAGCCGCGATCTGCCAAACCTGGAGATGCGGTAGGTAAACAAACCGGCCCAGCCCTCCAGGGTGCTTACCCATATTGCTAGGAGCAGCAAGAAAACTGCTTGGATGATATTCATGGAGAAACATGGACTTTTAAGAAACTTGGGGATGGATGAGTTACAGAATTAAACAATCGCTTCAGCAAAAATGTTCATCTGCAGCATATACAATTCACCTGATGAAAAAAGTTGTGACAAGGCATGGATGATATTGTTCTCCAAGTGTTGATCACCAGAGGCACTGCCCCCAACATGTGATGTATTGCACTGTCACATTTGAATAACTCACTTTCAATCCTCAGCAATATCACACTATCCTCTCCAGAGAATATGTTGGATCAAACACAATGGAGAACTGGCACCCAAGCTAATGTAACTGAAGCTGATCCCCAACAGTTGTGCAGAAATTGTTATCTGAGAATGTGTCACAGAGTTGTGACATGTACCCTTTAGCTGAAGGATGCCACAGAGGCAAGCAGTATGGCCTGTAAATAAAAAAAAAAGTGGGGGGTGTATCAGTATGAGTAGGAACTGTTAAATTATGCTTACCTAACAATGTGCGGATTATGTAGCAACTGTAGTAGAACAAACACCATAGAAATTCACTATTTTTTTTTCAAATTTTCCTTAAATTTTTCCAATTTAGAAGGTAAAATATTCAAAATTCAGCTTGATAAACATTTTTTCAGGTTTTTAGCACATTCAAATTATGTAAGATAACATTACCTCCTCCTCCCCACCACCCAATGCCTCCTACATCTTATTTTATGAAAAATGTACCTACTGTGGTTCTGTTGATGGACACAAAATAATTCAATGAACATGTTATGTGATTCTAGCATGTATAAACAGGAGAATATTGAGTAAAAACAGAGATATGGAATTATGTCCATGCATAGCATTGGAGAGACCATTATTAGAACACCTTGTCCACTGTAAAAAGGATGTTGAAAAATTTGAAAGTATTCAGAGAAGAGCAACATGAGCATGGTTTAGTCAGGCCAAATCCACCTTACAGTGAGAAAATTAAGAAATCTATTTAGCTTACGAAGTTAAGACGTGTCTTGATCATAGCCTATAAAATCTGCATGGGGAGATCTCTGAGAGTAGAGGACTCTTTAGTCTAACATAACAAGATTTGGTGTCTGAAAGTTGAAGCTAAACAAATTCAAACTGCAAATAGCATCTTTTTCACAGTGAGT